GATTTTTTATTGCTTTCTAGCTTATGAGTAATAAGAGGGAGTCTTCTAAAATTTAGGTACTAAAAAAAATAGAAATATACCATATTTTACTAAATTAGATATTTCTTCTTTTTTAAAACTTTAAATTCTTAAATTTTTATGTCTAAAAAATTATAACAAAGATTCCGACCTTTAGTTAAGTTTTGACAATTTGATTCCAAAAGATGAGAGAGAAAATTGAAAAAAAGACTAAAGCTCCTTGCAAAACCTTGTAAAGAATTGGCATAGCTTTACTTGTCATAAAAAAAAAATACAAAAAAAATAATAAAATAAAATAAAATAAAACAAAACAAAACAAAAAACAACTAAACAAACAAACTCATAAAGTCTCTTGTATTCTTGCTCTCAAAATTAAGGATGACGGCTACATCTTCACTCTTGAATTACAAAGAGCTAAAATTAAGATCCATGGCCCTCATTGATCCAAATATCAAAACTTGATATTAAGGCTAATAACCATCAAATGTGCCTTATAAATGATTGCATAAAAAAAACAAATTATATACCTTGGTCTAAAAACACCATGTGTGACTTTAAAATTAAAGTTAAAAAAAAAAACTATGCTTGAGTAGATATTGAAATTGATAAAATGCTTGCAACTATACCTAAAAGCTCTACAAATCAATGTTTGAAGTTTGATGAATATTTGTATTTTGATGGATATATACACACCATTAAAATGTAAAAATAAATATAAATATAAATGAAGTCTATAAATGTGTGTAGAGAAAGAAAAATAAGATCTAATAGGTATCAAAGAAAAAAAATCATATAATAAATGGAAGAAATCCTAGGATTTAATATAAATGTAATCTTTCTTACAAGAAGTTTTTTTATCAAAGATTTTTTAATACAATTTTATTAATTTAAGATATTTTTTGTTTCCAATTATTTCAAAAAAAACAAGAAAATTGCAACCATTAACTTAGCATGATTTAAAGAAACACTCTTTCACAACAGTATATCTACATATTCAATCCCTACAACATGCTATTCTCTACACAATAAGATTTTTTTGTCACAGCTATTGAAAATCCTACCAACAGCAAGCATTAAAGAAATAAATTCCAACTACCTAAAGCATCACCTAGACAACATCACTACCAAAACACTCATTACTAATTTCAATTTTTTAACCATTCTCAGTACTTAATTCCAGTTGGATAAGGAAACAAATACTTACATCTCTTAATGTCAGATATAAAACTTACACGCAATCACATTTTGCAAACTCTAAGGCGCTATTTCCAAAACAATTTACAATTTTCATTGAAGATTCCAAAATGACAGTGGTAAGTTGTTTATATATATATATATATATATATATATATATCTATATATAGTGAAATGAGTTGCAAAGAAGGAGTCAATACCATATATTACTACCGAATCATAAGCAAACGAAGAAAGGAATATAGAAAGAAGAGAAACGAGACTTTATTGAGAAAGTTGGACTTCAAGTGCTGAGCGATTAAGGACGAGGGAATCCTGACGAAAGCAACAGTGGCTCGCCCTACTCCGTCGACTTGGTCGCCTGAGGGCCCTCAGGCGATGGTTGATACTGCGAACTTGATTGAGTTCGGCGTTACATGCCTCGACCACTTGTGTTTTGCACCAGTGTGCTTGTTCTTCCTTGTTCCGAGCCAGACAATCTTCCTAGTCGGAATGTTGACGTTTCTATCACATGCTGGATTCTGTGGTAGTAGCGTGCTGAATGAAGTGGACTTGTAACAACAGCTGATATATTCGTTGTAAAATCTGCACCCGATTCTTCTCGGCTATTTGGATGAAACGAGGGTGACCTAGACTCTGAATGTGCAGGAGTCTTGTTCATGTGATAACTGCAGTTTTGGGTTGTTTCTCGTGCTACAAATGATCTGTTACTGAAGCAAGCCAGCTGTTTCAGTTCGGAGTAATTGGTGATCAAGGTGATGAGGCGGAATTCTAACGCCTTGTATGGCTGCAGATCCAGGTGTAGCACCAAGTATCTCACAGTAGAGACGATGTGATGGAAGCAACCAGGGGTTGGTGTTTTCGGGTCGACAGAGTTGTAAGTGGAGAATCACAGAGATATTTAGCGTCCTCAGAGAAGAGAACGAAGACGCGGTGCTGACCACGCCAAATCAGACATTCAGAGCAGCTCTGGTGCTCCACGGAAAGGACATATCAGGGAAAATGGGCTATGACAGATGTATACAGATTCTATCGGTTCTTCTTTTGTGCGGGGCGAGTTGGGCGCAGGGTCCTGTAGCGGCGCCAGCCCCGTCTTTTACACCTGCTGATGCAATTCGTATCGCGTGTGGCTCAGCTTCCGATGTCAAAATTGGTACCCGGGTTTTTTTAGCTGACGTTCAAGGTACTGGACAAGGGGTTGCAGGAAGAACAAATCAGAATAACGGTGCTTTGTCGGCGTACGCTCCACTTCTCACCTCTGCGAGGTTCTTCACTTCTGCATTTAACTACAATTTCACGGTTAGTCCAGGGAGACATTGGGTTCGCCTGTTCTTCTATCCATTTGCGTTCTCATCTTTTCAGCCGAGTAATTCATTCTTTGACATAAGTACCAAGGAGGTCGGTCTTCTCTCCAACTTCAGCGCAGTGACCTTCGTCACCGCAGACAGCCCTTATTTTGTTCGAGAGTACTTCCTGAACATCACTTCAAAGGACCTCGTTCTTACTTTCATTCCACGGTCAAATTCGTATGCTTTCATAAACGCCATAGAGATTGTGTCTGCGCCAGATGGAATGGTACAGGGTGGCGCGCCTACACTGGGTGGAGGCAGTCTTACTTACCCTGGCCTGAGCCAGTCGGCCCTGCAGACTATGTACCGTCTCAATGTTGGAGGAGGCACCGTTGCACCGGATGATGATTCAGCGAACCTGAGCAGGACGTGGATTCCAGACACACCCTATAAACTTCTCAACACTCCAGGAGTGTCGGTAGAGGCAAACGCTACAAAGATTACGTACACCGATGTTGCAGAGTAAGTTGCAGCTTGCCCTTGCATGAACATGTAACAGGTCTTATCACTACATGTGGGTTTACAGTATCTACGATTTGCATCATTATGGTGCAGTTGCCAGAAGTTTGTACAGTTGGAGACATGAGCCATTAACTCTGACGGGTGCGCTTTTCTTTTGGTCTGAGAAAGATATATTGCTCCTGCTACCGTTTATGCGAGCGGGCAAGCGTTGGAAGATAATGATGTGGCGAACGCAAATGCTGCACTCAACTGGAATTTCACAGTCGACAACAACTTCACTTACTTGGTGCGTTTGCACTTCTGCGAGCTTCAGTACCAGCGGCTCTATGAGCGGGTTTTCATTATTGAGATAAACCGTGTAGCCATTTACCAATTTTTCGACATCATAGAAGAAGCCGGAGCTGCCTACACTCCCTTGTACAGAGACTTCATGGTGCCCATGATCAATACCTATCCGAAAATAAATGTTAGGATCGCCCCTGACCGTAGTAATCCAAATGCCAAGAATGTTCTGTTGAATGGTCTGGAGATTTTCAAGGTTAACAACGCGAACTCCAGTCTTGCAGGTCCCAACCGTATTATAGAGCCAAACACTACCTCTGGTGGTACACAAACTACAAATTCAAGCTCGAGCTCCAACTTAGGTGCCATCATCGGTGCGTCCATCGGAGGCGTAGCCGCTGTTCTTGCGGCGGCTGCGTTGGTCATCTTTTGTTGCTACAAGAAGAAGACCAAGTCTGACAAGCCTGGCGCACCAAGTCATTGGCTCCCGCTGCCTCTGCACGGCAGCAGTACTGACCACAGCAAAGTGTCGACTAGTTCGGCGAAGAGTGGGAAGAGTGGTGCAGGAAGTTATGTTTCTTCAGTTCCATCCAACCTGGGCAGGTACTTCAGCTTCGCGGAGCTCCAAGAAGCCACGAACAACTTCGACGAGTCTTTGGTTTTGGGAGTGGGTGGATTCGGCAAGGTGTACAAGGGTGAGACTGATGATGGGTCGAAAGTGGCGGTGAAGCGGGGAAACCCCAGGTCAGAGCAGGGTCTAAACGAGTTCCAAACCGAGATAGAGCTTCTGTCGAAACTCCGACATCGGCACCTGGTGTCACTGATAGGGTACTGCGAGGAACACGGTGAGATGATTCTTGTATATGATTACATGGCCAACGGTCCGCTCAGGGGTCACCTGTATGGAACAGACGAGGCTCCTCTGTCGTGGAAGCAGAGGCTGGAGATTTGTATCGGTGCAGCACGAGGATTGCATTACCTACACACCGGCGCGGCGCAAGGGATCATTCACAGGGATGTGAAAACCACGAACATCCTTCTGGACGAGAACTTCGTTGCCAAGGTGGCTGACTTCGGGTTGTCGAAAATCGGGCCCGCGAATGAAGTCACGCACGTGAGCACAGCCGTGAAGGGCAGCTTCGGGTACCTGGATCCCGAGTATTTCCGCAGACAGCAGCTGACGGAGAAGTCAGACGTGTACTCCTTCGGTGTCGTTCTCATGGAGGTGCTGTGTGCACGACCGGCAATCAATCCGGCCCTTCCTCGAGAGGAGGTGAACTTGGCCGACTGGGCAATCAAGTACCACAAAGCTGGCATGCTGGATAAGATCGTGGATGAGAAGCTGCGGGATACAATCAACCCCGACTCGTTGAAAACATTCGGCGACACCGTCGAGAAATGTCTGCAGGAGCGAGGTATCGATCGACCTTCCATGGGTGACGTCCTGTGGAATTTGGAGTACGCCTTGCAACTACATGAAGCATCTGTGAAGGGCGCCATGTCCAGCCTTGATCAAGGGAACTTTAGCACCGACTCTGATAACAGCCACATGATCTCCGTGCCGTTGGTTGCACCCAACCTTTTCGATGACTCGTTGACGATGGACATAGAACGAAGAATGCTGGAGGAGACCGCGTCCGAGGACCAATCGGCGAGCGCCATATTCTCTCAGTTGATCAACGCTCAAGGAAGGTAAAGCACAGACGATAGGGAGTTGATAAACCACAAGATGAAGGAGGCGGCGAGTATCCAGGAAGGGATTGTCTGACTGCTGTAGACCGAACAAATGTAGTTGTAGTTGATGTGGTTTTTTACATAAAAAAATAATATTTATGTATCGCTTCATTTGGCTAACTTCGAGTTTGATTGGCATTGCGCGAGGTCATCTGGAGTTTGGGTAGTTCTGGGTTTATCAACAAAACTCTGTTGGCTTTGTTTGTGTTGTGGACACGTTGTAATCCGCTTCGTTTGTAATATGTGTGTGAGGTGTACATTACGAAGTTTGTCATGAAAGTTAAGGTGGTTTCACTGATTCGATTCAACGTAGGCGAAGTAGTCAAGAATCTGTTGGCACAGCAGGGTCCAATGACTGAGCGTTGGATGGCTATCAATCTCGTGCACCATCTTGTGAAGTAAAATGCAGGTTCGAATAAAAGTCACTGCTGGGGTTGTTTCTGTGTTTATGTTCCAATGAGATATTAATATGCGAGTGCCTGTTGTGGCTCGATCATAAGCATCTTTCAGCAATGTACCTCACTCATTGTGGTTTACATATTACAGATCTTCCAACTTTTTTATCCACATTTTAAGCATCTCTTTTTAACACCACCCTCCGCCAATTTGAGCCTCACAAACTGTTTGGTGCCTATGCATCTCGTGTGCTGCATGTAGGTGTGTGTGATATTTTCCGGTGTGCTCTGTGGCATGGAAATGGCTGTACTTGAGACTGTAGCAGGTTGTGTTGATTGTTCTCTTTGGGAGCTGCCCGTCGGCCGAAGACAGAATACGGGGCATTTTGATCGCTCCAAAAGGAAGCATCGAAGGGAAGGGCATTGCTCCAACGACGCAAGTCTCTGGATTATCAGATTCCACAAACACACCTGATGAAGTCACAGACGAGGCTGGCACTCTTGTTGGACACGGATTTTGTGTCCTGAAACTAAAGGTAGGCATGGCAGACTTTGATGAACTTCGGTTGAAGTAATGATCTACGAACAGGATCTGTACGAGGCAGAGTCCTGTCCACACTATTCACATTTGGAACAGGTATGGGGCTCACAACCCAATGACATCAGCAGACCAACGGCATGATGTTTTGTTGAATGTAGATGCTCAGCCGACGCATTTTGTCAGCTGCGGCTTTGGGTGATTTAATGCGTTTCTGATAGGGTATGGCTACTTGAATGTCTATCCAGATTGGTCGGCGCGCTACTCCACAATAGGATGCACCAGTCACACAATCAGTTAGAGAGGGTGTAGGAGCTGATGGAAAGGTCTGAGCAGACGCAATTCGGAAGGGGTCTCACTAACAGGCCACTGAGTTTGCAAATCTTGTTAAGGAGTGCGACATAGAATATTTAGAGGTACGGAATCGAACACTTGATCATAAGATGGTCGTTCACTGCAGCAGCACACATGTTAAGAAGACTCCACCGCAAAGAAAGTACAATTGTTGTCGGTAGTTAATGTCAGAGTCGTTTGCATTAACAATTATTTCCCGAGACTCCAGCAAACGTATATAAATCTACTCTTTGACATCCTTTATTCGAGTTACTTCGTGCGAATCAGCGATGCGTAATTTATGTTACTATCTCCTCTGCACAAGAGCAATAGTTTCATTGTTTTATACTGGAGTGTTAGCAATGTTCGCTTTTTAAACTTATTGGAAAGCCTGGAAATTTCATGATACTCGCAATGTGTACGGGCATGGATTTCAGGTGGATAGCACTTATCACCATGTGTAATCTGAAGCAGTTATGTCAGTTTTGAGAGAGCATATTCGTTTCAGAGGACTTCCTCAAATTTTTCTCAGGGTGTGGCATTGTGCAGGAATATGTTAAGATCTCAAAAGATATACCGAGATTTTGTAAGGAGAGTGGGATACCTATTGCTTTAGATGAAAGCGTTGACGAGGATACATCGTTCTGGAGTGAAATGCTTGAAAGAATTGCATCAGAGGGCGTAATGGCTGTTGTAATTTTTCCTGGTCGCGTGGGATCGTTTGAACAAGCTGTGTCATTGCGGAGTGGGCACATAGCCGAGGCATAGTAGCTGTTATCAGCTCAGATATGAAAACAAATATTGGTTTAACTGCTTATGCCCATCTAGTTACTTCTGGTGATGGAAGGTGTCTATGGACGCACACATCGAATCAACAGAAAACCTCACGGGATGGTGCTATTACGCATGGGCTGGGTACTTACAAGTGGTCTGTTGGAGACCAGTGAGAGGAAGGGGATCGTAAAAGTTTTACACTCATGCACAGTGGACAATGAAGAGGGCCGCGAATTGACCGAAGGCTGCTGGGAGTGTGTAACAACCACAACGGCGGGCACTATTTTGAATGAATGGAACTCACTTGCTCCAGATGTTCACCAGCACTGCTTCCACCACGCTGATGAATGGTATTGGTGCCCTTCTCTGTGAGTAATGTTTACTTTGGTAATGTTAGGATTTTGGTATTGAAGCACTTTGTGGTCTTTCAGTGATCTTTCAGCTCCTCCACGTCGTTAATCCAACTCCACCATCTTTCGGTTTTGACAGATGTATGCTCGCCTGGATCTCCAGCGATTCGATCAATGCGCGTGTCTGCATATCCGACGCCCGAGAAGTACCATTCTGGGCACGGTATGATTGTTTTGGTCACAGTAGATGCTATTGAAAATCCAGCCATTTGCGAGGATGAGAGAAATGAACCGAACCCACCTTCATGTATCACCTGAGCAACAGCACTCCCAAGATTCCCTTCACTAATTTCTATCGTTGAAACAGTGCCAATACTTGCTTCCAATATGTAAACGATAGAAGAAAAAAAATCCACGTATCTCAATGCTGAATATAAGACTTCAGAACAAAAACGTGACTTTCACACATAGGAAACTGAATTGCATTATTCCCATCGGCAAATTTACATTTTTCATGGAAGATTTTGAGAAAACTTTGAGATAGTAGCAAAATCTTTTTGCTCTATATTATCTCCTACATGGGTCACAAAAAATTTGCTAAATTCCATGTCACATTCAACCTGGAAGCATTCGAAGGGATGGGGGGGAGATTCTGACGAAAGCAGCAGTGGCTCCGCCTACTCCGTCGACTCGGTCGCGGGAGGCGCACCCCATGACCGCGAGCACATGAGCCCCATTAACTTTGCGCACATTACGGCACGGTAACAGGAATCCCACCTTAGAGGCAGACGCCGGTAACAGCGGTGAAGGGGGGGAGAGCGGGACTGGCGAGGAATGGGGATTCATCCAGCTTCATCGTCATCGCCGAGCTGAAGCAACTGCACAACCAGCTGTGTTGCTGCTGTTCGATGCTGGGCAGGACAACCACGCAGCTCACCTGCCTGCCTGTTGATCTTTTGCTAGGCCCCTCCGAAACCCCGTCCGTCCGTATCCCGTCAATGGTCACTTGCACTTGTGTGAAGCCATAGCCACTGACGCCGTCGCCGCTGCTGCTGCTGCTGCTGCTGCTGATGGTGTGACCGATCAAATGGTTTCGTGACAGTGCCACAGCCCAGGTACTTCGGATCTTTCCTTTCGACTTACATTTGGGTTTCAATCGGTGGAAGGACTGTATGCGGAGAGCGCGTTTACCGTATCGAGACTGTGGGGGGTTGTGTTTAGTAACCGGGTGGGTCTCAGAGTGATCTATGAGGACTGGGATGGAGGTCGGATATGGCTCCGTGAGGTGAGAATGCCGGTATTGTAGCTTATATTTGTGCCTGTCAGGGTTGGAAACGAGGGTTAAGGGTTTCGTATTTGTGTGTGTGTGTGTGTGTGTTTCGGAGAGCTGCCCGGAGGCGACGGGGTGTCGTGTTTCGCTTGAAGCCTTACAATGTTCGCTTCAGCTCTTCGGTAGAGCATATGGGTCATGATGGAAGTGAGGAAGGGTTCCCAGAGTTCACCACGATTGTTTCTTGACCATAGTGATACCCTCAAATGCTTCGCCGCGACTGCGAGGGGCTGGTTGTGGAACAGTAGGTTAGAGAATGTGTCTTGTAATGCATGCGATAGGCCACATTCATTTGCCATTCACGATACGACAATGGCTGGCATCGTCTGGTGTCTCGGAGAGTGCTTTGTACTGTTCGTAAACGATTTTGGCCCGTGCGTTATCATTGAAATGCTCACTTGTACTCTGCTTTAGCGGTTCTTATAGTCATCTGCTCAGTGTCGTTTTCTTAAACCAGGGCAAAAATGCCTGCAACCTAGATGGTTGATCCTGCGAACTTAACTATGTCCAGCGTTGCAAGCCTCGGTTTTATGTGTTTTGGACCAGTGTGCTTGTTCTTCCTTGTTCCGAGTCAGACAACCTTCCTAGTCGGAATGTTAACATTTCTATCACACACTGAATTCTGTGGTAGTAGCGTCCATGCCGAATGAAGTGGACTTGTAACATCAGCTGAAATATTCGTTGTAAAATCTGCACCCGATTCTTCTCGGCTATTTGGATGAAACGAGGGTGACCTAGACTCTGAATGTGCAGGAGTCTTGTTCATGTGATAACTGCAGTTTTGGGTTGTTTCTCGTGCTACAAATGATCTGTTACTGAAGCAAGCCAGCTGTTTCAGTTCGGAGTAATTGGTGATCAAGGTGATGAGGCGGAATTCTAACGCCTTGTATGGCTGCAGATCCAGGTGTAGTAACGAGTTCTGCACCGTAGAGACGGTGTGATGTAAGCAACCAGGGGTTGGTATTTTCCGGTCGACAGAGTTGTAAGAGGAGAATTACAGAGATACTCGGATACATTTGAGAAGCAATCGGAGGCGTGGTTCTGACCACGCCAAATCAGACATTCAGAGCAGCTCTGGTGCTCCACGGAAAGGACATATCAGGGAAAATGGGCTATGACAGATGTATACAGATTCTATCGGTTCTTCTTTTGTGCGGGGCGAGTTGGGCGCAGGGTCCTGTAGCGGCGCCAGCCCCGTCTTTTACACCTGCTGATGCAATTCGTATCGCGTGTGGCTCAGCCTCCGATGTCAAAATTGGCACACGGGTATTTGCAGCTGACAATGTTCCAGGAACAATAAAAGGAATTGCGGGAACGACTCTTCAGAATAACGGTGCTTTGTCGGCGTACGCTCCACTTCTCACCTCTGCGAGGTTCTTCACTGCTGGATCTAATTACACTTTCACAGTGAGTCCAGGGAGACATTGGGTTCGCCTGTTCTTCTATCCATTTGCGTTCTCATCTTTCCAGCCAAGTAATTCATTCTTTGACTTGACTGCCAACGAGTTCGGTCTTCTCTCCAACTTCAGCGCAGTGACCTTCGTCACCGCAGACAGCCCTTATTTTGTTCGAGAGTACATCCTGAACATTACTTCAAAGGAACTCGTTCTTACTTTCATTCCACGGCCAAGTTCGTATGCTTTCATAAACGCCATAGAGATTGTGTCTGCGCCAGATGGAATGGTGCAGGATGGCGCGACTATACTGGGTGGAAGCTCTGTCGGTAACTTTGGCCTGAGCCGGTCGGCCCTGGAGACTATGCACCGTATCAATGTTGGGGGAGTCACCGTCACACCGGATGCTGATTCAGCGAACATGAGCAGGACGTGGATTCCAGATAGTCCGTATTTAATTTTTGGAGCCACAGGCAAAACCGAGTATACCCAAACTCAAGATATCACGTACACCAATGTTCCTCAGTAAGTTGCAGCTTGCCCTCGCATGATCATGTTACAGGCCTTTTCATTATAGCTGAGTTCCCAGTATCTTTGATTTGTATCAGTATGGTGTAGAAGTTTCTAGAGTTGGAAATATGAGCCACTAACTCTGACGGTTGTGATTTCTTTCTTGCCGGATGAAGATATATTGCTCCTGCTGCCGTTTATGCGTCTGCGCTTACATTATCAGGCAGTGATGTGGTGAACGTCAATTACCAACTCAACTGGAATTTCACAGTGGACCCCGCCTTCGCGTACTTAGTGCGTTTTCACTTATGCGAGATTGTGTACCAGCGGCTCAATGAGCGTGTTTTCAATATTTACATCAACAACCAGGTCGCTTTTCCAGATCTGGATATAATCGCTAAAACCACTACTCCCCTCACTCCCTTGTACATGGACTTCATGGTGCCCATGTTCAATAACTATCCAGAAATAAATGTTATGATCGAATCGAGCAAGACTGCTCAAAATTACAAGAATGCTATATTGAATGGTCTGGAGATTTTCAAGGTCAACAACTCTCGCTCCAGTCTTGCAGGCCCCAATCGTGTTGTAGTGCCAGATAATTCCACTGATGGTACACAAACTACAAATTCAAGCTCGAGCTCCAACTTAGGTGCCATCATCGGTGCGTCCATCGGGGGCGTAGCCGCTGTTCTTGTGGCGGCTGCGTTGGTCATCTTTTGTTGCTACAAGAAGAAGACCAAGTCTGACAAGCCTGGCGCACCAAGTCATTGGCTCCCGCTGCCTCTGCACGGCAGCAGTACTGACCACAGCAAAGTGTCGACTAGTTCGGCGAAGAGTGGGAAGAGTGGTGCAGGAAGTTATGTTTCTTCAGTTCCATCCAACCTGGGCAGGTACTTCAGCTTCGCGGAGCTCCAAGAAGCCACGAACAACTTCGACGAGTCTTTGGTTTTGGGAGTGGGTGGATTCGGCAAGGTGTACAAGGGTGAGATTGACGATGGGTCGAAAGTGGCGGTGAAGCGGGGAAACCCCAGGTCAGAGCAGGGTCTAAACGAGTTCCAAACCGAGATAGAGCTTCTGTCGAAACTCCGACATCGGCACCTGGTGTCACTGATAGGGTACTGCGAGGAACACGGTGAGATGATTCTTGTATACGATTACATGGCCAACGGTCCGCTCAGGGGTCACCTGTACGGAACAGACGAGGCTCCTCTGTCGTGGAAGCAGAGGCTGGAGATTTGTATCGGTGCAGCACGAGGATTGCATTACCTACACACCGGCGCGGCGCAAGGGATCATTCACAGGGATGTGAAAACCACGAACATCCTTCTGGACGAGAACTTCGTTGCCAAGGTGGCTGACTTCGGGTTGTCGAAAATCGGGCCCGCGAATGAAGTCACGCACGTGAGCACAGCCGTGAAGGGCAGCTTCGGGTACCTGGATCCCGAGTATTTCCGCAGACAGCAGCTGACGGAGAAGTCAGACGTGTACTCCTTCGGTGTCGTTCTCATGGAGGTGCTGTGTGCACGACCGGCAATCAATCCGGCCCTTCCTCGAGAGCAAGTGAACATGGCCGAATGGGCAATCAAGTACCAGAAAGCTGGCATGCTGGATCAGATCGTGGATGAGAAGCTACGGGGTTCAATCAACCCCGACTCGTTGAAAACATTCGGCGACACCGTCGAGAAATGTCTGCAGGAGCAAGGTATTGATCGACCTTCCATGGGTGACGTCCTGTGGAATTTGGAGTACGCCTTGCAACTACATGAAGCATCTGCTGAAAGTGCCATGTCCAGCCCAGATCAAGGGAACTTTAGCACCGACTCTGATAACAGCCACATGATCTCCGTGCCGTTGGTTGTACCCAACCTTTTCGATGACTCGATGACAGCGGACACTGAACGAAGAATGCTGGAGGAGACCTCGTCCGAGGATCAATCGGCGAGCGCCATATTCTCTCAGTTGGTCAACCCTCAAGGAAGGTAAAGCACAGACGATAGGGAGTTAATAAACCAGAAGATGAAAGAGGCGGCGAGTATCCAGGAAGGGACTGTCTCACTGCTATAGACCGAACATATGTAGTTGTAATTGATTTTTCGTTTTTTATTTTTGTTTCCATTTTTTTCATTTTCCTCGTCATTCGGTTTACTTCAAGTTTAATTGGCATTGCGCAAGGTCATCTGGAGTTTGGGTAGTTCTGGGTTTATCAACAAAACTCTGTTGGCTTTGCTTGTGTTGTGAACACGATGTAATCCTCTTCGTTTGTAAGATGTGTGTGAGGTGTACATTACGAAATTTGTCACGAAAGTTAAGGTGGTTTCACTGATTCGATTCAACGTAGGCGAAGTAGTCAAGAATCTGTTGACACAGCGGGGTCTAATCACCAGGCGCTGGATGGCTATCAATCTCGTGCACCATCTTGTGAAGTAAAATGCAGGTCCGAATAAAAGTCACTGCTTGGGCTAGTCGTTTCTACGCGTCCTTGTGGTTCTCATGACATGTCAAGAAATGAGTGCCTATTGTCATGGAATTTAATGTAGTTGTTTGGCTGTATTCGTTTCCTATCCAATTTTTTGGGGGATAGGTGACTATTTCACGAGCTGTTCTTTGCGTAAGGACACACAGTAGAGGGTGACGACTATGTCTTGCGAATGAGAATACTACTTTCAAATTATCCTGTTTATTTTAATTTACACCACAATCGTGTATTCTTTGCTACATTTTACTACATCTACCTCAAGCTGTGTTATCTCAGTGTATGGCAGGGGCTAGTGTTTAGGTTAACAGGGTCTAAATCACAAGAATAAGTAGCTGTAGGGACTACACCTCAATAGCCAACATAAAGTTTTGGAACGCCTTCTGTTGTCAGAGATAGTGATCAAATACCTGCGTCTAGCCAGAGTGGCCATCAATTTGAGATAAGTCGTAACAATATGAATACAATGGAGAAGAGATGCTTTATGCATTGATTCTTTGTAGAGGTCTTAAGTTGGGTACATCTCACAAGGATATTTGGTAGACTGAACTCAGGACTGGAGTAAGAATTAGTGTTAATGACTTGAGTCGCAAACTTGTTACACTTTGTCGTTCTGCGTAATTTTTTATTTCTGTTTTTTATATGAATGAAAGAAATGTGAGTGTTTCCTACACAAGCAACAAATTATATCAAATGAAATAGAAGAGAGAATCAGAGCAAGAATGGTTGAAAATACAATATCCTGTTGCGGATTGTAGGTATCAAACAATTATTTTTCACTGCACCAATGTCAGTGCCAGGACATGTAAGGCTCACAGTAAGTTAAAGAATAAACACGTTAATTAGGTTCTGAACTAGGTAAAGAAATATTCCATGAAACATGCTTCGATTCAGTCACATGGCAAATGTACATCAAAACCTAGCATGATCAATTGGGTCTTGGAGAATAAGGAAATTATTGCTTACAGTCATTTTGTTTAATAAGAAATGCAGATAAGAACACGAGTATTATGAATTATAGCTGGCTTAAATTAAACATGTGCAAACATCTTTAAATTAGAATGACTCGAAGAGAAATCTACTGTATCAAATTTTACACCTACGTGGTTAAACTTCTGAAATAGAGTGCGATGTAAATCACCGATCAGTTTCTATGCACTAATTAAAATCCAAATGTTTGTTCAATCATCTGCTATTTTATGTAGGTTGCATTCATCACCTGCCTTTTCGTGAATTTTGGTTCACACCGTTGAGTTAGACCAACACTAACTCAGTTAACATCAATTTTAATTTTTCTGACTAAAAAATTTAAATTGAACTATGTTAGAAAGGAGAAAACTTTGAAACATTCTCTCAAAACCAACACAACGAGAATTTTCAAAAGTTAACTATTGAAACAAATCGCAGGTGTGAAAAGAGTTGTGGATAAGACTGAGAACCTATGACCGACGGGTCGGTGGGACCTATACCCGTCTCTTATTGTACAATGTATAGTGTACAGTACAGAGTACGATGAGGACCAGGTGCAGACAGGCGAGCTCGGCCGGGCCCCGGCGAGGCTATGTCCGAACCCGTTCCGAAGAGTAGTGGCGGAAGATCAGAAGGTGCTGCTGCTCCGACGCTCAGTGGAATCACAGAATTGTCATCGTCGTCGTTTCGTTCTCGTTGTGTTTCATCTTGTGCACGTCAATCAGCGTTGCGCTGTGTAACGAGGGATTTTTGCCTTCGACATCAATCCTGGCTCTCTGGGAGTTGGGTCCCGAAAACTAGCAGGGAGGGAAGCGTGAGGTGGTACACCGAGGTACTGTTCTCGAAATGCGCACTACCTTTGTTGCGTTGATTGGGTTTTAGGATGGTCGTGAGTTTCTGCGGTTAAACTCTTAGGAAGAATTGGGCACTTGGGTTGTTACGATTTTCCTGATACATGCATTGGTTTTTAGCGCACATTTAGACCTATTTCGCTGAGGCGGTGTTGATGTAAGTGGTTTCTGTAAGGTGCTTAATTGCCATCGGTCTGTGGAATCGGGATAGGGCGTGTGTTTGGGGGGTTTCCGCGAGCAGAAAAATTTATTTGGGATTCTCTGAAGGAAAAAGTGAATGCATTGCAAGCGAGGGACGATAATTACTCTAGAAAATGGGAAGTGTGTTCTTCTTTTTTATCTAGCCGGAATTTTGTAGGCACTTGTTTTAATCTTTAAAAAAATTATATAAAATGAAATGCCCAATGCTGTGATAATTTTTGTCTGTTTTTTCAAGAAATGATGTTCGTGGATTGTTGGCTGGAGAGCTGATGCCATCCCGATCCTATTCGTGAGTATATTGTAGGTGTACCTCTTAGTGCAAGCAAGATTTTTTTTTATAATAGGTATCTGGAAAGGATCAAGTAGATGTATTGAGTTCTTCTCTTCACTCCTGGAACTTAACAGCTGTTGCAATCAGGTTCTACGATCTGAGCATCGAACTGTCCGGAAACAGTCTTCCGTATTTCAAACAAGGAAGATATCAAATTCGTCGCTATCATAACCTCAGACTTCTTGTGGAAGTCCTCCTTAGCAACCCTCCCTTGCGAGTTCAGCTAGACATCTTCAGTGAGCTCAGTTACTAGCTTGGATACTCCGTCTGCATTGAGACGAGCGAAGACCTAGTCAAGGAGAACAGGAATGACGAGCTTCCGGGAGTTTCGAGGAGTAGAGTCATGGGGAAACGATGCTTGGAAGGCTATGTGTAAAGTCAGAGAATCGCAACCTTTGGTTCAGTGTATCACTAACTTCGTAAGCATGGATATCATGGCGAACACACTTCTAGCCGCTGGTGCTTCGCCAGCTATGGTGCACGCGGTGGAAGAAATCACAGAGTTCACTGCTCTTTCAAATGCTCTCTGCATCAACATTGGGACCTTGTCTCCAAATTGGATTTTTTCCATGAAGGTATGAGATTTCAGTCGATATATTGCAGACTACGACACGCAATCGCAGGAACTAGATTGCTAGGTTTGGTGCTTTTAGGCGTTTAGATCAAGTTCTATGTTGATGAAATTACCTCTGATTCTTCAAGATCCTATGTAGTGTCAAGGGTCGAACAGTCCAGCAAGTACAGATCAAATGCTTAATTGCAGTGCTTCATTCCTATCAAACATACTTTCATAAATGCTTTGACTCAGCTAACCACATGAAGCTAATCCAGTGGTTGTTGTGGCTGATGTTGTCGTAAAGGTTGCCGCTACTCGTGCGAACGAACTCCAAAAGCCTTGGGTTCTGGACCCAGTAGGCGTTGGAGCAACACGATTTCGCACAGAAAAGTGCATTGAGCTCATCCACTTGAAGCCAACTGTTATACGCGGAAATGCATCAGAAATCATGGCTGTTGTCGGGGCCTCCACTGGTCCTACGAAGGTTCGCCCTTTCCAAGCTTCTGTTTTATGTGTGTTATTTATTTATTTGCGTATATCAAACCTTTGTTTTGAACGCGACTTCCAGGGCTCATTGCTTAACATTCCATTCACAATAGTGAATATGCTGTCAGCTCTATGGTAGCATGTTACGTACATTGCTGCAATGAGCTACTAATGGTTTCATGATCGCGTTTGATCCAGGGTGTGGATAGTACGCAAGCCTCTACGGATGCAGTGGAAGCGGCGAAGGAGCTTGCTCGCTTGGCCCATTGTATAGTCGCTGTCTCTGGGGCTGTGGACCTGGTAACTGATGGCAAGCGGGTCCTCGGTGTGAGCAATGGCGTTGCATTGTTGCAACGAATCACTGCTACAGGCTGTGCTGTCACCTCCCTCATCGCTGCTTTTGTGTCTGTCAACCCCGGTCGTCCCCTGGAAGCAACAGCCTTCGCTCTAGCATTGTTTGGACTTGCTGCTGAAATTGGTAATGAGAGAGCAAATGGACCTGCGTCTCTTCGGGTTAATATGCTAGACGCACTGCATTCTTTAGATGAAACTTCGGTTACGTCTCGGATTAGGATAGCCCAAATATGAAAGTATGTTTTTTTTGTGGGAACCATGTTTTACTGTAATTATGTGACCATGTTTTCCTACTTTCTCTTGCAAATCCGGATTCGATTCAGTTGTTTCTCTTAGCTCATCTGCTATATGGTTCATTTGAAAACAGAGTAGCATCTCTTTTTGGTCCGCTGTGAATAGAAGTAAACTTTGTCAAGGCACGTATCGATCATTCGCATTGATAATCGTACTGAAGCAAGCGTCCTATTTTCCTAACTTGGATATAGACTCACATACATTTCAAGGTAGTGTCAATGATTGTATGTGGGTAAGCCTAAATGTGGAGTTAAGTGAATAAAGGCTTCCGAAAGACAGGTACTCAAGTAACTCAAGGGTACAGCATGTTTTTAACAGCTCAAGGACAACACTCACACATAATGAAAACCTTCTGTAAGTTCATTACTCTAGCCAAGAGGAGAGTAATGGCTTCTATTTGAAGATTAGGATGTAATATTTTATTCATTGGTCTTGCAAATACTGGCACAAAACCTGTACCACATCACCAGGTGGGTTGTGCTGCCCCCCCGGCCACACTACCCACACTACCCACACTTTGTATTGACGAATTAGATGTTGAATACGACAGGAAGTTTATCAATTAAACATGAAATTGTAGAAGAATGTTTTGGTTCAGGTACATCAATGAAGAAAATAGTGTGTGATGTGCATACAAGTACATTTCATGTGACTGGTTATTTGTATCTTTCTGCATGCATTTGCTAAAATGCATTATTGCCAGAATGTGTATCCAAAGGCTATGGAATGTATGTCAGAAAGTTTATCCTCTTATTCTCACATTTGATGTTCTTATTTATCATCGTGAGATTTACAATACCTTTTTCTAAGGTCACTTTACCGATTCACAAGCACACAAAAATTGTAAGTAAAATTTCAACATTAGGTACGTCATCTGATATTTTTTTAAGGACCCCCTTGAGATTTTTGATAGAAATGAGGAAATAATAGCTTGAACTTCTAGCTTTGATTATTCATAACCTCATAGCAATGCTTCCAAATGGTATTTTTAATTTATATTTTATGATTATACTAATTACAATTTTTTGTATGTCTTTTTTCTTATGAAGATGTCAATTTGAAATTACATTTTCTCTCTGGATATTATAGACATTCTTTGAAAAGAGTGGCATGATTTTTGTCACTATTAAATAATTTTAATGTCATTATTAATAGTATTGATACTAAATACACAGATTTCAAAATGTTTAACCTCTTTTAATTTTAATTTTCTCTTCTCTTTTGATTTAAAGTCAATAAATTATAAATTTTATTTTTTAAATATAATAGAATTATATAATATGGTATATTTGTTGATTTCTAATGGCAATTCCTCTATTTTAGTTCTATCTACTTCAAGATTATCATTGATTGTAATCCAATTGGCTTTTTTAATTATGATTCACCAATATAATTTTTATGATAACCTTTAGAATTAATCTCAATATTCTACTAAATTTTCTTAATTGCAAGCTTAGGATTTTGTTATCATAATTATTTCATGTAAAACAAAATGCAAATACAAAGTAATAAACAAAATTTGCACAACTTAGAGTTAATTTGATTCTTTGTACTTGTAGCTTTGTACATTCTACACAACAACTTGTACTACTTTGCAAATTGTACTTTTATAAATTTACACAATTATCTTCTTTCTCTCATCTTTCAAAAGATTTACATTTTTGAAAAATTATATCATTACCTTCTCTTCATTTGATCTTAACTTTGATTAACTACTTCATCTGATTTAGTAACCTGATTTAAATATCAAAATATTTTAAGATTCAACTACAGTATGACATAAAAATAAAATTTATTGTTCAAAATAAAATAGATACTAAAAATCAAATTAATACAATATACTTAATAGTCTACATTAATTTTTATTATTATTAAAATAGATAATAATCTAAAGTAACAAAATTTACCAAAGTATATTTATAAAAAATAAAAAATAAAAAAACTTACAACATAATCTTGTAACAGAATCTACAGCAATATTTCATAATGGTTTTAGCAAGATTTACAATGATAAGAACAATTCAACTAATATTTGGCAAATATATTTTGAAATTAATCATTTTTAAATATTTAAACAATATGAATTTTAATATTTTTATTTTGGTATTTTTTATTGTATTAAAAGGCATCTTTAAAATAGTCTACAAGAATTACTCTTTATATACTAATTATAACAATCTATAATCAACTTTTGAAATAATCTACAAGCATCATCAATTTCAAAATGACATTAAATACAAAAATATATATAATTTCACTCTGAATAAATTGTATATCAAATTAAATAAATTCTGATTGTTATCACTCTAAATTGTATCTTATACATCACCCTTTGCAATTTTTGATATTGATAATATGGAAAAGTTTTAAGTAATTGAATTAATGAGTTATTTTAGATTATTTTAATTCTTATAATTATTCACATTTTTCAGTTTATCTACAGTCAAATTAATTAGATTTCTCTTCTTTTTTCTTTTTCTTAAAGTTGATGCACAAGTTTAATCTTCATAGTTGTAAGTATGTTGTCTTGTATTTTTTTATTTTGAAGACTCGATTTTAGAATAAACTTCGAATATTGTAAATACATATTGATAAGAATTAAGAACTCTTAGTTAGATAATTCGTCTTAAAATTATTATATTTTTAAAACTGTTTTTTCTCTTCTTCTTTGAATGTGTCTTTAATAACAAAATTACTTTTCGGTATTTGCATCTCAAAAGCTTAATTCAGCTTCAAGATTTTAACAAAAATGGGACGTATTATTTATTATTTATTATTTATTTAATATTATAGACCTCGGATGGTCTGGTACATTGCATGTAGACACGTTTATTTTCTCGTTGGAAGCTTCTGGAATAGAACCTGGCCACCTTTACCGTGGGCCCTGTTCCGGCGCCGCCCCGTCCGAAAATAGAATGGACTCTCTCACCCTCTCGGTCATTCTTCTGGCCCAGGCCATGCGTGCACGACAAAGAAAAATAATAATTAAAATAAAGAAGGCGAACCTTAAACTTAATTTAGGGATTGATAAAATTATGTATATGTAATATACAATCATGTGGGATCATGCTAGATGTGACTAGAGTGACCATATTTCACTTTCATTGATATTAAAATGAAAACAATTTAAGAATGACGAAACCTAATTCGCCTCTTATTTTTATACATACGAATTCATCCATGGATGAATGCGGATGGGAATATGGAACCATATTCGATTCGATCCTCAAACTTGTAGCCGCATACTTCCAGGAAGCTTCAATAGCACTTCGGAGTGATTTCGGGTTCGAATCCAGACGAGTGAAGATGGGGATCGTGGGGTGCTGGTAGACCGGCGATGATGAGTGACCTTGTAGACTTCTATTTCAGTATTTGTTTTGCCTCGTCGTGACTTTTGTGTTTTTGTTTTTTTTTGCGGATTATGGTTGCTGCTGTCATAGTATGCTAGATGTGTGTTGTCTGAAGGTTTGAATGCTCTGTTTGTTTCTACTATTTTTCTGGTTTTACTCGGCAACGTCTCTCGTTCCTGGTTATGTTAATAGTGTATGTTCATGGCACACAGTTCGAAACGTGAAGATCTTCTCTAGTTCGAGGATTGGTTGCGAAGGGATTGTATTATCGAGTGTCCGGCTTTGAACGCAGTGATCGAAGTTCTTGTTTCACGTTCATTCGTCTCAGAGATCCACTCGTTTTCTTGCTGCTACAGCGTGAATTAAAGTGTCAGTCCGCTAAAATGTTTTACGATTGGGAGGAGTTTAATACGTGCTCTGGTAGTTCGACAGGCCTCGAGTCAAGGACATTATTATTGGCGACAGGATGGAGAGTCCTTCGGATTTGGAGAAGCAGATTGGGTGTACTTCTGTAAATGATCGAACGAAGGACAGTAGAATCGATACGTTGCAACGATGTGTTGAATCTACGACTGCATCTTTGATTTCTGAGCAAGCTAAGCACGCTGAGGCGATGGCACGCAACATGGAGCTTTAGAGAGAGCTCGAAGAACGAATTTTGCAAGAGCGAGTATTAAGCAAGCAGTTAAATGATCAAGTTATCAAGCATGACCAAAATATGAAAGACATGCAGACCTTGTACGAGAACAAAATTCGGAGATTGGTTTCTCTGGTCGAGAATTTTAGAGGCTGCAGAGCAAAGTTTGACTGCACAGCTTGGAGACATCGAAGTTGAAGCTCTGCAACAATATCGATTCTTCAACGCAGAAAGCACTTCACATTCTCAATCTCTCGCACAGAAGGAGGAAGAGCTATCAGCAGTTCAAGCTGAACTTGATTCAATACGCAAGAGGAAGGTTTCTGTCAAGGAACCAGTAACCATGAACGTCGCATAACATTTATCGAAGTCCAGGCATCAGGACGATAAAGCGAGATTGCAATCTAGGTCAATTAGTAGTGGTTTAGAAGGCAACTTACGAAGCTGCATCGATGCAGCAGGAGCTGCTCCTGGAAATTTTGGAAATATCCTTGCAACAGGAGTGTAAGACCATACAATAAGAGAAGATCAGAGTCCCCTGTCAACTCTGCAGATCGGAGAGTTTGGGTTTTGCTCTTTAGCGAAGGATACGACCTACTTCGATTGCTTCACAGGGTTTGTACTATGTGTCCTTTGGTAGACACGAGGCATGGCGATTAACAAAATAGGTTGCGCTGGAACAGATCTTGCGAATGCTTTCAGGAGATCGATCGCATGAGTCAGTATTTTAGTGTGTGGCTAGAACGATGGAAATGCTGGGGTAATTCTTTATTTTGTTACACCTTATCGATGTCGATTGCCGGACTAACTGCTCTATGACCTCAGAAGCAACCACCAATGTTTTGGTTTTCAAAACTGATGGAACATACACAATTTTTCGAAGTTGTAATTCATGCCCAAGATTTCAGCGATGGCATGAACTACTGGACATTCATTTGAAGATCGTTGCAGATATGGAAGGCTTCTGTGACGTGAATAGTAATCGATAGTTTTCGTTGAATGACCGAGTACATGCACCTCAGACTTTCTAAAATATGAAAATTAAAGATTGCGTAGTAGCGGGGTGAAAGGAATATTACGTTTTTGGCTATGTATCATCTATGTTTGCACTGTGAGACTGGATTTGCAGTAATAGATCTCAAAAGAATTCCCAGCTTGTAATAGAGAGAGTATTTGTCACCTTTGAGCTGACTGTGTTCCTCAACAAGGCTTGCCAAGACGGTATGGGGGGAATCCACTCATACATCCTGTTGTCGACTTCTTTGAACCCAGAAATGTATTGCTGTGGAGCGTTTTTTAAAAACCAAGTAGGTGATGAGAAAAATACCAAGGAAGTCTGGTTTATCCTATCAGAAAGTAAGGTGGATTTTTTACACTAAGATTTGAGTACTTCACTTTACACGTGTGAGGCTTGGGCATCTGCTCGGTAATGTAATGCAATTCCTCAAACAAAAAGTTCTATGTTCCAGGTTTTCTCGCGTGCCATAGGCAACATGGTATGGAAAACTCAAATGCCACGTCTAAATCTTAGGAGGAATGACTAGCTTCCAATCCGCCTATCAACTCAGAGAAAACAGATCTCCACAATGTCAAGGTCTTCAGCGCGGTGCTTATCAACACAAATTTCATTTCCCACAATCTAATACTCGATCAGGGGATCTTCTGGAACACAATCCGTGCACCAACAGCCAGTAAAGAAGAGTTCAATGTATCCAGAACTCCAGTCCTGCTAAAGCATCCACTTAATCTTCAACACTCAGGTGCGAGGAGCCATGGCTAGCTACAAGTCACAGGAAACCTCCAAAAACACACCTCCTCGCAAATGAATAACTGTTTCCTTCGTGTGGACAATATCAATACGCTACGCAAGCATCCAAATCGTCGAAACCTAGCGACGGAGCCTCAATCCCAGAGACCGAATTTTCCAGCGCAACAGTTCCGAAAGCTTCGATTGAGCGGGTAAAACACGTTCACGGACACCACATGGGGTTTGAAAGGGGGGATGGATGTTTCATCCATTTGTACGATGATGTAATTCATCATCCATCTGATTGAACGGGAACACTCTTGGAGAGTGACAAGTGTGCGCCCCCTGTGCACCATCCAATGGGAGCGCTATTCATCGCGATGGGGGGGGGGGGATGGGAACGAAGGAGAGCCACAGAGGAACGAAAGAGAAGAGAACGCGAAGGGAACGCTCCCTTTTCTACACTTTGCTTGCTCCCAATTCCGTCTACTTTCAAACTTATCGAAATTGGTCCACTTCTCGATCCGCGCACTGATGGCCTTGAGCTTCAAGGATTGATTAATTTGTTAGGGACGGAGAGTTTCGGATTAGGATTCTAATGAGAGTTTTTTCGCCGAAAACAGTGCCGCATAACCTGAATTAGGTTGTAATGTGTTGCGATGATTGTGAGGCGTGTTATGGTCTCTAGTGTTTGCTGCGTTTTGGCTTGCCGTTGAGGTTTTTAGTATTTCTGAGAAGGGGCTACTCGCACCCGAATTGGAATGCATAAATGCAAGCTTTTGCGCAGTTTTGTCCCGCTCAGTGGCGTTTCTGGTGATTTTGTAGGGTCTTGAGGTTTTTATGTGTGTTGTGTAGTGGTGTTGTTAGACGTTGCTCACAGTTATGATTTTAATGTTCTGAAAAAGCATCGGAAATTTGAAGTTTCTGCCACAGTTCGACTGGTCGGGTAGGTAGCAGTACCTGTGTGAGATTTTTGTTTGTCAGTGGAGGAAGGTTTTGAAGGAGATCCAAAGATCATTGCTGGAGGAACTGTTCCTTCAGAGTTTCAACCGGTGAGCTAAGTTTCTATGTGTTGTTCGGTCCGGTACGGCTTATAGTTATGCCCATTGGGGGAAATTATGAGAATTCCAAAGGGATCCTTGTGATAATCTTTGCTTTAGGGTTTTTCGAGTTATTGACTTTTTAATTAGTATAGGTTCTTCATTATCATTATCAAAATATGGTATTCGTTACAAGAAAAGTCTTCTCTGATAATCACTGGTCATTACGGCCGTTGCAATTTGTCAGGTTAGGGTTCGGACGAAGTTACAGCAATTAGAACCACTTGAATAAGAATTTCACTACATCTTTTAGTAGTATTTTGCTTCAAATTATGGCTTTTTTTTTCCCTTTGCTTCTATGCTAGAAATTTACACATCTGTAACCTGTTTCGGTTCTTTTAAGGGCATTGCTGCAATGGTGCGGGTTACAATTTCCGATTGTATCTGGCGGACTTTCATATTACAATTTTTTTAAGCCACTTCTGTTCTCTTTAAGATATAGTGGGAGCAGTAAGCAAGCCTCGATCGATTACTGAAACTTGGTCGAGGTGATGACCGATAGGCATTCAGTCACTTAAGCACTCTTCCACTTCAAAATCACAACCTGTTCGGGGAGGGATGGCCTTCAATGAAAATCCACTATCGCTGAGCCTCTCTGAGACAGCATTCGAGGCTTGGCTACGCGACAATGGGCACTTGGAAACAATCGACCGAACAGGATTGGACCATCATCTACGATTTCCGACACAGAGTTCTTTCAAGGAGCTCTCGAAGGCTGTGAAGTCTAATCCATTTATGACTTTAACACGTAAACTATCTGACTGCCGCTCATTATTTCGTTTGTTATTGGATGCTGTTATTTTCGAGAAGGAATGTTTCATACGGTTGGGTATCTTTCACAAGATTGATCTACCTAGGGTCATCTTTGCGCTGTCCCTCATTTACGGCAAACGTTGGGCTTGTTGTGCTTGTCATGCTTGATCCAACCCGTCCATGCTTACATCCCTCTAATTTTCTTTTGGATGGTCTGGCAGTCGACGATTTGCTGAAGAAACCAGTTCCATGGACGGGTGAGTTTTTTGATTGCGGATTTGGTCCAGGAGAAACATACTCATGGCCTAGGAGTATTGCTCAAGCGAAGCTACGAATGGATGAAAACATAAGGAGATACACCGGAAACTATGTAATTCTTGTCGCTGTTGTCTACTTCATTCTCTTGTAAGCATCTGAAGAGCTATATGCACATTCTCGTTATGGATGTGGGCGCATTTTACTCATTTCCGCTATTGACTGCAAGACATATTGCATGTATATAATTGAGATGATGTTTGTATTTTCTCACGTAGTACCTTTTGAAGATAATGGTGCGTTGAGCAGATGGCATCTGCACCTGGTCTTACAACACTCTGATATCTAAGGAGAAGTATCTAAATCATACGCAGGTATCAAATGCCGCTGGCACTAGTGGGTATTATAGCGCTGATTCTGGTTTGGGACTCTCTGAGGAGAGCAGGTGATGAATGGGGCCTCGATAGGAATGGTTATGGTTACCGAACACTTGCCTTCGTGGGAAATGGAGGTACAACATTCTGCAATAAATATATATATTTTTTCTGGTTTCATTTAGTATTTTCTTTTGTGATTGAACCAGTAAACATATTACAGGTTATGCGGGCTAAAGTTCTGCTGTTTCTGCTGTATGACGTTAGCTATTCTCTTAGTTTGATTCCGTGCGATTATCTTTGTTTTGAAACGTTTTGTGCTTGCTTGCTGCAGTGACTCTTGTGTTAATGGTGTATTGCAAAATAGCACTGGCGCTATTTTGGGCTGGAATTGTCAGCCTGTTAGGTGCATCTTCTCTACTCCTTTAACACTCCTTGCATTCTGAAGTTTCCTCTACCTTTTTACGTTCGTGATGTTATGAGCTATCACATTGATTCTAAAAAGACATCACTTTATTTTGATGTTGTCAGTGTAATGTGGGTCATGAACTGTTTTTCTTACCGAATGAAGGCAAGGAGTCAGTCATTGTATGTTTGAGGAAAGAAGCTTATTACCGTAGTTTATGATGCAATAAGATTGATGCATGTCAAGGTGTATCTTTGATAACGAGGTACTATTGTTACGATTTTGCAGTTGTTGTCGTGCATAGCTGCTTGAGGAGGATAACTCAACCCAAAGTTGCCAAGTATCCTGCTACCAATGTGATTGGACACCCTGCTCGGTCATCAGGTGAAAAGCCTCGTCGGTCGTCTACAGAAAGTAAGGAATCAACAGAACCACAAGCGAAGTCTCATCGATCATCTTCAGACACCAAACGATCAGCGGACGCATCAGTGAAGTCTGGACAGCAGTCTGCACAGAGCAAACAAGTACCAGGACTACCAGTGAAGGTAGTAAAGCTGAAACAATAGAATTGAGGTTCATGTTTGTTGCCAGGCTCTCAACCGTGCAGGACAGAGCCTTGTAGATTTACATGTATTATATGCTCATGAATATTGTCTCTAGGTACACTGGATTTCTGGGTATTTTGCTGTGGGTAGTCAATGAGAACCACGACTTAAAGCCGTGTGGTGTATAGGCGGTGGAGATTGTAGGTCGTACTAGGACTTTTACTTCAAATAGATCTGGATGTCTAGTGATAAAGCCCCACGGTGATTGTGTTAATGACCGAAGGGCAATTCCACCTGTGCTGTGCGGAGTGCTTGAACGGGGTGAAGACATGGTGCTCTTGGCGTAAGCATGTCGATTTTAAGTTAGATTTGTTTATTCTCTTGTCAGGTACCAGTTGCAAATTTTCGCAGGCTAGTGATACTGATGCGGGGAGTTTTTTATTATCAAGCATCTAAATGATAGTGTTGGATTAAAACTTTGGTATATGGTTTGTGTGATGAGATAGTTTGTCCTGACAGTACATTACGCTCTTGCATAAGAAACGTTCTTTTGTGCTTAGGTTGTTCTTGTAGATGGCCCTGTTCACTATGTTACATTAAAACGCTTAATGGAGCTAATCACAGTGCTGCTACGGATTGCACATCATGCAGTGTCACATCCTGCCGCAAAAGTGGTTGTCGTTTATACACCTCAAGCGCAATGAGAGTAATGTTTCATGACACGCAGAAGACGTACACTTGACTAAGATGATTTACAATGCAGGCTAAATGAATTGTGATCAGCAATGACAAACTCTGATTCATCAACTGTGCTTCGGAGTAATTGAAATACTTCAAAATCAACGCACTCAGTACTCAAGATAACGTATGACAATACCAAATAAGAGTGCCCGATAGTTCCCGAAAGTGGCATGAATTTAAAATTGAAAAGAACAGTATCAACCAAAAATGAATGTTCAGCTACATAACATGTATAACCATCGCTGCAGATAATTGACAAGGGAAGATAAAGTGATGGTTGCAATAGTACTGAAACCGTATAAGAAATCTTCATCACCAGCATCTGTAGTCTACTCGTAGAGGCCTTCTTGCTCCCATACATCGACAAGAAAATCCACCATCTCCTACAAATTTAGTCCAGTACTGGAGTTGATGAATCATACAAAAATAAATAAATCCATCAACATTGCAGCAGATTAGCATCACCATACTATTCTCGCAACAAGGCCTGCGTCAAGAAAACAAGGTTTCGCAGTTCACATGACGGACACAAGATTCAAGATCGGATGCCCTGACTTCACAAATATGAGACTCTTCATCTTGACACTCACAGGTAGAGGAATTGGTTGTGAAAATGGTCTACTTGTGCCAAGCAAGTCCTCGTATGTGGTACTCCAGCTGGCATTTCAAGTAAAAAATAACCACCTTTCAGTCTTCAAACATATCACGACTATTGCAGATATCATTCACAGTTAAGACTCTCCATGATCAGCACTTATTGTACAAGCATATAGAAGTTACAACTATACTTGGAGGCTCTTCCCGAACACCACATCCATTTCTGGTCTGCGGCCTGGGCTCTGCAAAGTTCCGAGTGTGGAGTAGGATATAGTCTAATGTGATGTCATATTACACCAGTGTAAAGACCATAAAAGAACTTAACTAGGCTATATCAGAGCTTCATATGGTTTCATATTGTCATACTAAAGTTAAGCGTAAGAGTTCTGACTTGTAAAATCTCTAGTATTAAAGGGGTGAAAAAAAAGAAAGACGCACCTTATTACTGGTTCTCTGTGTTGGGCAGGTCGAGGTCTCTCTCGATTTCTCAACCACTCCCGTCTTCTTTCTGTCCACATTTTCAACGCTGCATAAAGTGCAAACATACAGTAAACGAAATCATCACATGGAATACCAAATTCAGAACCAGTAATACAGCATCATCTTTCTGGTAAAAAAATAACGAGTTACGCGCTCACGAATAGGTGAGTTTGTACAAATGAAGAAATACTTCTAATTTTGATGTCACGGTTAAATACAGCATGTTCATGCAAGGTTATTCAGCTAAGAGTTTTCGTATTCTCAACATGATTGTTAATCATGGCGACAAACAAACTTTCGATGAATACTTCATTGATAACTGCTCCAGGGATTTTCATCTTGTGGCAACACATTGAGCATGCAAGATACGACATTCAACACATGAGATTTCATCACGCATAAAAGATACAGCACTGGTATAAACATTAAAAAATAAAAAAAAGTACCATGATTTACGAAAGGACTATTCGCGTCATTTTCAGCAGATGCTCGTGTCTCTGAAATATGGTGGTTGGCAGAAATTGAACTAGAAGGTCTCAAGTGGTGAGCACTGATGCCGTTGTTTTCCATCTCATTGGAACTCGAGGTTTCAAATGAATTATTAAGAGGCACTGTTTCACCTTTGTCTGCCCCCAAAGAATCCTTGGTTGACCCTAAGTCTAGTTTCTGAGACTTAGTAAATCGTCCAAAGCAATTTCCACACTGTTGCAAGAACAATGAACGTTACAGAAAAAGGTATGAAGTCGATGAAATCCATGTGTAAACTAGGCAAAAAAATAGAACTACTAAACAACTATGCAAGGCTACGCCATAACTCATAAGATTTACATAAAGAGGATGCAGAGCCACTAAGTATAATCTCAAAAGAGTAATTCACGTGCTTAGCGCTCTTGGTTAAAACTGCAGGACATGGACTTCGACATGAACTAAATAGGACTAACCTCCAACATATAAAGATTTTATTAGTTCTTTTAACATGACGAACAGAGTAACAAGCAGAAGAGAGGGAGATACGCACCCCATACATACAGCGCACGCAGAGGAGTGAAAGCTTTATCAGCCAAGACCAATCAAGCATACTATATACTCGTTGATGAGCCTTCTGTTCTAACTGAGGCCACGTTTAGCCCAATTATTGTATCAATCCTCCATACATAGTAAAACACTTTTGTCATCCTACACCACAGCAATATACCTGTCACCACCACATAAAGCTTCCAATACAAAACTAAGCAATTTAAGGGTTTAACTGCGTGGATCTAAGAGCAACGCACTGGTCACAGATCACTGAGGAGGAGTAAAACGAAGTCTAAATAGATTCAGGAACCCTGCTGCAAAACAGAAACATCATAAAATATGAATTCTTGGTAAGAAGATGAACATGAATGTTTCTCTTCGAAACACTTACGATCAGCACTGCCCACAACTAATGCCGGTCAGGATGCTTAAGTTTAAAGATAACATGTAGGACCACACACCATTTCCTTTTGAAGAAGAAGACTCAGCAAATTCAGAAGCCAAAATCGTGCCTGGCCAACAGAACATACAAAAGCCAAGTAAAACATTAGTTTTTAACAAAGCTTGGTAAAAACAGCAAAAAGCACTCCCCTTCAACAGTAAATATATAAACATATATATATATATATATATATATATGCTTTTTCTTTTCGAGAAGAGAGGATCTAATAATTACAAGGCTGATCGATAGACAGCTCGAAGAACTACTTCGCTGATGTGATGTTGCAGTAGAAGCTATACAAAAGAGGATCTCAAAAACAGCATATTATACAAATAAACGAACACGCGATATATGAAGGAGACTTGAGGTATCCACAAACACGCTGCAATAGTTAGCCAGACGAGACTCTTGGAAAGATGAAGAACCAAGGGGAAAGGCAAAGAGCAAGGAAACACTGCCAACGTTGGTGCAAAGCGCCAGCTCATTGCCCAAGAGAAAAAGAAAAAACACGAACCTTCACAACGACTAATTTCAAGCTCTCGGCCTGTCGTAATTCCTTGGATGCTCCCTTGCTCCCTGAGATCGCAAAGATCGTAGCACATAGTACCGTTTAAACTTAAACAAACTTTTTTCACAGCAGGGAATTCTTGGAGAACCAGAAACGATCACCACCGGCCAGGCACTCGGAGAGCAAGAGCTGTCTATTCGGCGGAGCCGCAACACCCACAAAACAAAACAAAGGGAAGGGATTCGAAGGAAGCTTCAGAAAACGCACGCACCCCCCTCATACGTGGATATCCACAAACACATGGAAAAACAAAACAAAATAAACAAAAAAATCCCTCACATGAAAAGTCGGTCACAACAATTACGGTGAAAAGTTAAAGTAGGGTCTTCCTGTCCGTCAGTTGTGCGCGTGAAACACGATCTTCGAAACTGGGTCTTGAAAATTCCCAACAGCGTCACCAAAATCACAAATCAATGAGTGTATGTGTATAGCGATAAGAAGTACCGAAGCAGTCGGGTTGTAAATATACATTTCTACGTTGTTACGAAACGGTTTTTTACGAATTTTGGAGTTTGTTTGTTTGGAACCGTGAATCGTCTGCTTGCTCTAGGTTTTGGACGCGATTCTCTTGAGTGCTGTGATGCTGCTGCGGTGATATCCTTGATTGCCGGTGTCTTGAATTAGCCTAGTTCTTTTTAATATATTACATGGATGTTGACGAATTGCATGCGTTTACAGGTTCATACCAGATGTAATGTGTATATTTTTTCTTTTTCTATTTTTTCCCCTACTGCTCACTTGTCGAAGCAAGTTACCAAGTCTGAAGATGTCGCATTTGGCGTCACAAGATTTAAAAATATATATATATATATATATATATATATCAAAAATAAATAAACAATCGACATCTGACCTGACTGTGACTTGTAGACTAGCCTGGATGCAAGGCATGGATACAACAGTGTTACTGTTTGTTTGTGAGGGAAATATGTTGTCTTTTTGCTACAAAGAGGGGTTTACTGTTATCTGGGTTTGTAAGAATATTAAGGGGATTCAGACTTGGCCTTTTTGGGTGATATTTCACCTGTGATAAGATTTTGAAGCATCCAATGATATTTTGGAATATCACTTGATACTTCACCAAATCACCCACCTTGTGAGGTGGGTGATTTTGAAATCCAAATATCAAAAGAGGGGCCAATGAAATATCAAAAACCTTGTTGCTTGCCTTAACTCTCTTCCCTTTTTGACTCCATACCACACTACTCTTTGATTTAAATGATACTTCAAAAACTTGAAGGCGGTAATAAAGTTTGAATGGTGATATTTTGGATTTGATATTTCAAATGATCTTGGAAATATTAGTATTGAACCCCCAATTTTTTGGTTTTGCAAATACTTCAAGTCTAAATCCACTTATTTATTGGGTTTAGGATGATGTTTTCATCAGTTTAGGACAACCATCTCACACTTGGTTAATTTATGACAAATCCTCCCTTAGAATATTATTTTTTGGATCAAGTTGGAATTGATGATTTTGCTTCATCTCTTTTTGGGCATAAGATAAAGTTATTCTTTTTATTACATAAGCTTATGTTTTGTTTTTGGAAGCATGTTTTCATAGAGTAGTCACATGTATTTGCAAAGTCCAAAGATTGAATCTAGATGGTAGTAAAGTTGATTATTAGTAGCTTCTTTCTTGTGTTGTCAATTCAAGTCATGATATTTTTCAGCTTTGCATCTTTTTTTGGGCTACTCTCACTTATAAGCTACCTTCTTTTGTACTATTCTTATTGTCCTTGAGCTATGAGCTACCAAATCATGCGAGGATGTTGAATTTTTTTGATCATACTTCAAATCTGTATTTAAGTAAATATTTATTTTAAATTTTAATTCTTTCTTTCACGTGGTCTTAGTGTCTATGTCTCCATGTCAAGTCCAATTACATATGATTTAGTAATAATAAATGATTATCATCTTTTAAGTTTTAGTCTATTGGATCACATATTGTTTTGTTGTTATTCTTGTCTTTATATTCTAACACAAATGTAAATAATAAAACAATGATGGATATTTATAACTATGTAGATATTTCATATGATAAATTTATTAATAGAATAATCTTAATAGCAATAATTTTTATAAAAAAATGTGATTTTGAAAAGTATATTATGTAAAATATATAAAATTGTATTAAATGATGTATACATTATATTCTATGTATATATATATATATATATATATATATATCATTTAAAGAGAACATTTTGCATCCTTTTCTATTTATTTATCTTTGAGTGTTGCACAAATTTTGCCATGATGGATAGAAAATTAAAATAAATTATTGAAGGTAGGTTGTAGCAAGATAACTCATATTTTATAATAGTTTGTCAAAAGTAATTACCAGCAATAAGAATCTATAATTTCAACTCCATGATAATACTCTTCACTAATTCATCATAGTAGGCTTGGGTATACTGAAGGTTGAATTTCACTACCTACATTGACATTATAGAAGCAACAACGTCTTGACTACCTGCTACTAATCCTACACCATTTCCTTCTTTGAAGAATGGTTGCATATGGAATTGTTCCAGTATTGAGATCTTTTAGGAATGTTGTTTTGAAGATCTCAATGTATGTTTGTTAATGTTATTGACACATCAAATCTACAATAATAATTTCCAAAAATCAAAGCTACTATGCAATAGTGTAGAAATTTGTGCTCATGAAGTGTTGCAATATTTGATGAATTTGTCAAACAATGCCTTTGATAAAGGGCACATTCATAGACAACACACTCATCAATTATCTTAACTATCTATTTCTTAACTATCTTTCACAATAGGAGCTAATTTAGAATTTCAAATTAGATGTATCACCTTCACTTTAATTTAATGACAACCAAAAATGGTTTCATTGATGAACTTGGTTCCTTGGAATTATATTAAAGCCAAAAAGTAGCACAACAAAACTAGTGCAGCAAAATGTGTGTAGCATGTAGACATTGACAAAAGAAAAGGAAGCAAAATGGGCCGAAAAGGCCTATCCCAAAATCTACGTAGCTTGTAGTTAGGGCCCCAAATGCACCTCAAAAAATAAAAAAGTAGTGATACCTTATCACCTTCATTTGTTATTATGAAGAATACATGGATATTCTTAATATTTCAGTATATTTGAGGGATACATATGATATTTTTCCTATATTAATTGAATTAAAAATTTTCTGAATCAAATTTATCATTTATCTTAGAATTATGAACATTGTATCAAATACAAATATATTAAATTATTAAAATAAGTATATTATCATTATTTTTTGCTAATGAAATCAAATATATATAAATTTATTACTAATATATTTTACAAAAGTAAAAGTATAAATTATCTTTATAAAAAATATTTATGTTTATATTAGAATACAATCATAATCTAATATTATATAGTTTGCAAAACAAACACAACAAGAATAAAAGATATTATATATAAATAGTAAGTAAATAATAGTCTATTTATATTAAAAATAAAAATAAAAATATTTTATAATATAAGTAGTTTTATCATAGCTATAATAATCTGTGTACATGTATTGTTGCATTTAGATGCATAATAACAAGTGACCTTAGACTTTGATTTTTTTTTCATTTTTTTATACAAATCTTTCTAATGTAATAAGTTTGAAAGAAAAGATTATTCATGAATACATTACCACTGACATGAATATTAATATTATTTTTCTTATTTTAATCTTTGAAACAATAATCTCAAAGATAAATATTATATAAAGTATAGTACATTTATATCTACATGAGATTACTATATAACTTTACTTGTTAATTTATTAGATTTTAAAATTATTCTTGTAATGTTTTAATGCAATGCTCAATTTTTGTTTTTATAAATCTAATGTATGTGTCAAACTATGCAATATCCAATTGTGCAGCTTGATAATGCTTTTATGGTTTATTAGAAAAATACAAACAACCAATTAGAAAAGTTGTTGAATAATCTATATGTATATAGGGAGTGCAAAAACTATTATTGAACTTAAGTTGTCAAGGCATGATTTTTGCCATGTTTTACAAATGTATATGTAAAAGCTATAACAATGACAACTACGGTTCTTGTAATCCAAGAGGAACCACTAATATATTTGAATCCACCATTTTTAATATAAAAACATTTTATCGCCTTTCAGAAATAGCAAAAAAACTATAATTCTATGGATATAAAAAATGTATCATTTAGTAGCAAACACCCCACATTTTCTACAACACTAACTCAATATGTTATATTCCTATATCAACTCAATACCACAGTCAATTAGAATTTATTTTTTGAGAAATTCAATATCAGCACACATGTCTACAATATTGGATTCTCTCCAAAACTATCTAATATTTTATGAAAAAAAAATAAAAAAAAAAATAAAAATCCTAGAACATGTACAATCCCTCCCAAAGTCTTTTTCAGGACCAATTCCAATCCCTCTCAAAATCTTTTTCTTACCCAAGTATGAGGGATACAGAATATCAAAACATTTCTCTCAACATGATACTTGTGAAACTCTAAAAAATGTACCAATCAAATATGATAAAATTAACTATAGTCCGGACACAACATACTCAACACTTTAGAAAACTCTCCTATAATCTTACCACAATATGAGATGGGTGAATTCAGATTATAAGTAGCACAACATTTCTTACATGCACAAAGCCTTTCAAGAAAAATGGAAAAATGAAAAAATAGATCATTCCTAACACGGCATTGACAACTTTGAAACTCTGGACTTATCACTGATCTGAACTGGCATCTATTACCATCTACAATAACGCGCTCATAGCGAAGCAAAAAAGACGAACAAAGATAAGTACTAAGATGTGTTGGAATATTAATCGAAAATATTCGCATACACAGTTGAACAGTGGAAAAATTGACATTCTCTTCCAAACACTTGTAGGGATTGCTTACTACACCGAAGCTAACGATCTCACTTTCAATGAAAATGGATTATTAGTAATTTTATTAGATTGAAGCGTTAAAGATACGCATGTAGCAAATCCTGCCTACATTTGAGAATATATGCAGCTTACAAAGGGACGGAGAAGAGCACCCATTAAAACTACTCCATTAAAATCCTTCACTTCATGATTGAATATTCAAACACCGCATTGAAAGAGCGATGCCATCTGTTGCGCTCACGTATCTCATATTTCAAATCAAACTCGCAATGCCTCCAAGTTCAAGCAGTTCAAGCTCGTATCAGTGAGGATCTCAACTGACAACTGCGGTGCTAGGTCTCGACACGTTATGGCACACAGAAAAATACGACCTGGATAAGTGGAGCTCTGCAACTCCTCCATTCCCCTTTCCCAGCCACCTCAACGAGCAAGAATCTTGGCATCACAAGCAACAATTTTCACCCGGTCCACAGCTGTAACATCGTTATCTGTTTTAAATGATGCATTCTCCAAGATGAAGGTCCAAACGTTGTCACAGAACCTGTAAGTGTGAAGATGTCCCTGTTTCGCAATAGAGAATATTTCAAAACAGTTGCGACGAAAAATTGTTTTAAGAACAGAAATATTTAAAGCGACAATGTACGCTGATAGAAAATGACCGACACGACGTACGAATGTTAATCATATTTCTATTCACGTACTGCAACGACTTGAATAGTGTTAGGGTTTTAATTTCGTGAGACCACTAGCTACGGGATGCAAAAATGTACAGTACACACGTTTGGATATGGACTCAATGCAAAGCTAAGTACTCTCTACGCACTGAGAACTACGTGACTGAGAAACAAAAGAAGCTGAGAAACTGTACCTTGAAACTGGTCTTGACCTTCACTTTCGTGCTCAAAGCTTCATTCATTGACTGTTCCATCCAGAAATGCCGTGCGTCAACAATTCAACTCTGGACGAATAGAATAGCAACAGACAAGCGCAACACCAGACATCAAGGAACAAACCAGCGTGCTCCTTCACAGCACAACCACATCCTAAGCATGGAAGAAAACCAAGAGAGAACGAACTCTTCGTCAGAAGCAGGAAGAGAACGACATCCTAGGGTTTAACGGCAAACCCTATCAAACTGCATGAGCACTTTGACAGCGAGCAGAGGAGAAATCGTGCCGTTGGTAACGAGCTCGTCCAAGGCATCCGTGAGGCTCACTCCGATGGAGGATTTCCTGTACAACTCGTAGCTAGCCATCTCGCTCGCTCACCTCGTGAAGTTGGCAAACCTACACCGCAAGCTGACTCAGAACTGTCGATACTCCACCAGACCCGTCGTCCCTTAGCTCAAAATGACCAGCAGCAGACGACGAACCCACTGGCAACAAAATTCGACGGCTCCGACGGCGAAGTCCGACACAGCGAGGCACTGAATTGCGACGCTGGGGGTACGTCCAGACACGGTTGGGCTTTCGTTCCGAAGTAGCTCGAAGTGGTCTATTTCGCAGTGACAGCTCAGCGCGTCATTACGGCGGCTTTATACCCTAGAGGCTCAAGACCTCTACGCAGTTCGTAGATTCATCCTTCTATGACTTCTCGTAGATACTACTTTCAAAATTATTGAAGATGACTGGTGCACTGCCTTGTCTATTTCTTCACATTCAATTAAAGTTTTATGTCTACTTTTAAAGTTTCTCTTGGAGAAGAGAAACCAACTTTTTTTTAACTTTTTTTTGGGAGTGTCGTGGTTTATTTTCTTAGATGACTCAAAGACTGTGTTGTGCGATGTGGCTCAACAAAAGGTTCTGTGAATGATTATTTCAAATGTTTAAAATTTAGAGGTTTAAAATTTTTTACTATTATTACACTGTAAAATTTGATTGTATTTTAAAGAGAATCAACATGGTCCATCTTTTATGATAAGATCTGAATTCTTAGAACTTTTCATTAGATTTGAATCGTTGCAAATTGAAGGAAAAATTGATTTTTAATATTTTTGTTATTCAATAAAATCTTTGCTACAACCCATCAAAGTAAAGATATTATTTTTAAAATTGTGAATATTCATACATAATTTCAAATATCTTTTTCACATGTTATCATTGTATTTTAAAACATTTAGTTTTTTCAAACTGTGGAATATTTTTAGTTGCTATGGAAAATGTACCTCGAATCACACCAACAAATAAAATATTGAAAAAAAATAGGCTTCTTTACTTTTCAATATTTATTTAGTTTGTTCTACTTTACATAATAGACCTAAATTTACTTTATAATTGTGTTGGATTCACTAACTATTCCTTTTTTTCTGTTTGCAATATGGCCTTGAACATGTTTAATCTGTGTGATTAATATTTCTATAGAAAAAAATTTTGAATATAAGAACGAACAATATTTAATATATTCAGTAAGTATTGACTTTACATTATATTTTTAGAATCCATAGACGGTTGGTTTTACAATGATTTATGTAAACTGCATCAAAGATATTGGATTGACAATTTTGTATCCCTATTCTATTTTAAACCATAAAAATATATGTATTTTAAAAATGAGGATAAATATCTTTTACAAATAATAATTTAAAATTATTTTTCTTTTTTCTTTTTTCTTTTTTCAAATCTGTGCTCTTGGTTGTTATTATCAACAAGTCTTTTGCACTATCTTTCAAACCATGCCAAGATCAAGTTGTAAATATTATTATTCTTTAAATAATATTTTGTTAAAACGGATTTCATGATGGTCCAAAATTAGTATTTATAAAAAAAGGTTATTTTTGACACACCTATTTTTAAGATTGAGATTATGTAACATTATATAATTTTGTTTTAAAAATTAGATCCAGAATAGGATTTATTTATTATTAAATGAAAATTATTAAACGTGATAAAACATTCAAAAGTCAATAAAATAAAAGAATATAACAAAAGAACATAAATTTTTATTATAAATTAAAATATTTTGACTACTTATAATAATTTATATAATATCTACAATATTTTCATATCAATTCGGCATTTAAGACCAAAATTCTACATTGTAACCTACACAGTCTAAGTTTATTAGCTCCTTGTATCATTTGAACAACCAAATTTGGGTTATTCCAAAAGATGGGCTACTTACACTAAATAGCCCACCCCAAGAAAGACATGTTGAAGGGTACTTAGTTTCATGTGTACAGATGCCCAATTGGTTAGACAAAACCAAACTCATATTAAAATCATGTATAAATACAATAGAGTGGCTTGTCATATGTAGATGATTTTGTCCAACTTATTACTCTAAGGCAACATGAGGGTTGGCAACACACTAGGCAAAAGCCTTCTTCTAATAAATACTAATTAATTTTATTTATTCCTCATCAATTGCAAAGGCTGTGTGATTGGCTAAGGTCTTTTTTCTGGAATGAATAAGATTCTAAGTTAAACCTAAGTAGTATTGTAGAAAATTAGGGACATTTATATTTTGAGCATTTATTTATTTATTATTATTTTTTATCTCTCTTTCATATTTATTCACTTATTTTTTTAAAATATTTTTCTCATTATTTTTCTTTAGCTCATTGAAGTTTTTTTTTACTTTGCTCATAGAATCTTTAGAATGATGTAGATAGGCAAGAAGAAAAAATCAAGTATGTCTAAAGTTTCTAATGAAATGAAAACTTAAATTTACTAATTTGGAGATGGATTTGGTGTAATAAATGTCTAACTTCTATGATTCAACTAATAAAATGGATAAAGTAAAAACTATGAATTCAAGTTCTTAAAACTATGTGTATTATTAAACTATACATTACTTTATATTGGATCTATTGACAACTTTCTAAGTAATTTCATCTTCTTAATTTGCACACAACATGAAACTCTTTCAATAAGCCATCAAGCATCATATTATTTATAAAGATTGTCTTTGGCTCCATATCTTTGTTAGTAACAACTATAATATTAGCATAGATAAGAGATTTATTAATTAGGATTTTATTAATCATCTTTACAAGTGATTATTTTTTAAAAAAATTCCATTAACAAATTGATTTGACAAACAAACTTCCAATCTAGACTTTTCCCCCATCCATATATCTATTAATAGACGTGTTTCATCCAAGAGAACAACCCAATGTCAATTGTATGTCTTGGGATGCCCAATTGGAATTGCCTCTATTCAAGTTGTTTTAGGTGGGACAACTACACATTGTGTTGTTGAAACCATTTTATTATTATTTTTAGATTGAAAATATTATTCTCTTTACAAATTTTTCATTATGATTATAATTATAATATTTTTGTTAAGGTAGATCATTGATGCCGTAGTTGCAATGTGCAACAAAGCCACTTTATTACAGCCTTTGATGCACAATTAGATCAAAGTATTTTACTATCATTTTTATTTTGTAGCTTACAGCTAAAGCAACTAAATGTATTTTATTGTAGCTTGGGTTGCAATGTGCACATTCCTTTGTCCTAGGAAGAATCAAAGACACAACTCGTATTTTTTTTGCTCATTGCAACCAAATCACCAACAATATTTGAAATTATTAATGTTTATTTTGCCCCAAATTTTCTATAAAATAGCATTCCTCATCAATAATATGTTCTGATATCATAGAAACAAAAACAATAACAGAAAAAATTAAACCACTTAAATATTATAACAAGAAATGCATGGAAGAAAACATTGTCGATTTTCTTCATGTAAAAGTACGTAATATTGGTAAAAATAAAAATAAAATTTAAAAGAACTAAACAAGTGAATGTAGTAACACTCTTACCTTGCTAATGTGAAAAGCATATATATATATATATATATATATATATTTATATATATATATATATGATTTTTTTCATGATTTGAATATTATTTTTCAATAAATCTTAATTATTAATTTTCTATTATTTTTATTTTATTTTATTTTGGAAGTCCTAACATCAATCGAGAGGATATAGGAACTAATTAGAAAACTCCTCCGCAACTGCTAGCAAGTTCATTTGTGTCGGTAGAATTACAGTGCAATTTCCAAAACAATTAAACCTATTCCTTGAACAGATTCACACAACCTCCTCCGCTGTTTTCTTATGTCACTCTAAATTGATCAATTCATGTGCACCATGCCTCTTTTGAACACAACTTTTCAGAGAAAGCTCGACGAGAGCCAACTCCGACAAAGATTATCCAACAAAAAATATCACCCAACGCACTCTTCCCAATTCGTGGGGGTATAGCCGCAAATTAATAGCACATCCGCGATTGAGAGGTGGGTCACTCCGTGGTGGGCCAGGCCGTTCGAATCAATCAACTCGTGATTTGAAACAGGCAGGTGGCGGTCTCAGCAAGAGAATTACGCCAGACGGCAGCACGGCCGCTCTTTTCGCAAGCAGTGTGACGCATCACGAAGTCGAAGCTCACAAGTAGGGCTACTTCAGAGTGTCCCGTTGGCCTGTTTCGCAACGACAGCCTTCACATCAGTTTTGGAAGAACCTCATTCTGAACTTAGGATAGACCACAGCGATCTCGCACCGGGTTTTTCTCTTGGGTATGTAGGTGAAGAGCGTACAGTCCGTGACTGGCTAGTTTGGTTTCAAGTAGACAGAGATTTGTTCACAGCTTAGCAAGAATTTTCTCGCACTGACATCCTACAAGTTGGTGAGGGACGGGGTTTAATCATCTACCCCTCGGTTAAGGTTGTCGTTCGGGTCACTGGAGCGCGTGCGAGAGACCAATTACAGAGATTTACGATCGAAAGTTGTTCATAGAATTCGATTCAGACGCAACTCTGGCGGTTTTTAGCTGCTGGGTCGACAGTTAAATAGCCTGGTAGAGTAAACACCATCGTTTGGAAACAACCCGAACATAGAGGATCTCAGTTATTTTTATGCCCGTATCGAGTCTCCGTCATGTCGAGGAACCGCGTTGTGTCGCGCAGGACCCGTCAGCAATTACAGGAGGTGGTGGGGGGAGCACTCAACTTAGTGAAGACGATCTTCATCAATGGAGTGATGGTAATGTTGTTACCAGTCCTGGCGCCCATCTCGCTCGCCGTCCAGCTCTGGAACTCGCTCCCCAGTTTCCGGCAGGTTCGCAATGCGATTCCTCGGAGTTTCGGCGACCTCTGTAGAATCCCATCCGCAATCTGGAACTCAATCCCCTCTCTCAACCAGTTGTTGAACATGTTGGTCAATCTGATCCGGGCAATGGTGCGAGATTACACCACAAGGCTCAGTCCACAAGTCACTGGACAGTCCACACGACAGCCCGCTCTTTGATTCCTCTCAATCAAAACTGCTCGCACATCTCACGCGGTTACACACTCACGCCATCATCGATCAGAAGCAACCTACGCGCCTCTAATTTTCGATTTCTGCATCACCGACAGACTGCTCCGCCAACCTTCCAGTTCATATTCCAGGAGAGAGACTTTTTCCTTCCTTCACGAGGCGCGAGGAATTTTGAGTTCCATCTCCTCGCAGTCCTCGTGATCTCCGAAGATGGTCTGATGCAGCAAAAAATCATCGCAGCTTCTAGGTGATACCAT